ACGAAATTCGATGATAAATAAACGTTGGATTCTAAGAAGGGATAATTCTTGCTTGTGCAGGCAAGTTTTCTTAAAATGAAAACGCTCTCGCTCTCTTGAAAGGAGCAAGTCTGTCTTATATTCTCCTTGGAACTAAAGTCTGTCTTACATTCTCCTTGATTCCGTTTGCAGTAATTTCTGGAGCACTTCAAAAGGTTGTGGCAGCGGAGACGTACTTGAATAACTCTATTAATATCGTGAAAGTCAAAAACCTAACTCGGCGGCGTTCCTACTTTATAGAGTAATAGACATCACTGTGTGAAACACTGCGTTGAAAGTGTGAATTGGGAAAGACGTTCGAAATCTCAGAATGGTTTTTTGCCGAAATGTTCGGATCAAAACGACACGGCGAGGAAGTTAACGTTGCTGTAGAATCCAGACCGACACTTTGGCTGATGTCCTGTTTGGATTGTATACAATAAGGAGGAAAGACATCAAAGCCAAATGCATCGTTCGAACTCATCGAGAAGCTATTTCTCAGAATCCCCCCTACAGTACCCCCCCGCGTCATTGAAGATCGAAAAAAAAACGGGCGGGAAGATGAACGCCAAGGAATGTTCCAGAAGTCCATTGTCGTTTATGATAGGGGGCCAGAACGCTGCGCTGTATCCTGTACTTTAGCAGGCATCCGTTTTTATCAGGGTACTTTATTTGTGGGAAATTACCCTGATATTCTCGTTTTGTTCATAGTTGCTTTGTCTATTTCTTCTTTTTCTCATTTAGGCGCACCATGAGTGTACATGAGTGTATTGAAATAAATAAATAAATAAATAAATAAATAAATAAATTATGCTTACCATCTGCTAGTGGTCCAGTACTAGTATTGAAATTGGTGGGTTCAGGTGATCAGATCTATTGTCATTACTCATCCCTCTTCATATCTTTACCCGTAATTTTATCCTTATTTTTTGTCTTTTCTGCTCTCTCTAAGCTTTGGTATGAATGAAAGTAGTATCTTGATAGCTCTTTTCTCAGAGGATTTTCTAAAGCTCATCGAAGTTAAGATCGCATACTTTCATAATTTTGGCTGTTGATAGAGCAAATCTGTTTAATGTGGATATGATCATAGCGTCCTTTAGCTTTTTCTCAGTTTTTTAGAATGATATACGACCTTAGCCAGGCTGAGTTTCACTTTCAAAACTTTTCTTTTGAGCTGATTTTTTTTGTATTGATTGGTTGTGGCCGGAGATTTCAGAGTGATTGATAGACTTTGACATCTTATCATCCTGGTTCTCAAACCGAAAGCCGCTATAAACTCACTCATGCTAAGCCAGCTTTCTCTTAGAAGGTTTTCTTGAAGAAATAGAGCAGTAGGGAATAATAAGAAAATATGGTACTTTTCCGTTATCCGGAACCATTTTTTCAAAGAAGCATATTGCTTTTTCCCTCGTACCATATTTGATCCCGACTTCACAGGAAGGAGTGTCAACCTTCTGCCACGTGTCAAAAAAATTTGACATGTCATTTACATGTTTAACAAATTTAACCAAGAGTTTGAGTTGCCCTACCTAGCGACGTAAGTTCAGATCTCTTTATTAGTCAACAGTGACCCCATTTTCGATTAAACTATCAAAAATGAGCATTGTTATCATAAAAACGTCATTCTGTTACTAATTAAACAAATTAGACTTGCCAAGAGTAGAGAAGTGGACTAGGATCATCTAAATGACAAAACAAGCAATAGCAAGGAACTTTAAGCCATCGTTTATAATCTCGTCTGGCTAAATTCGCAAGACGACGGAAAGTTTGAAGAAAAAGTCAATGCTGAATCGTTGTTGAAAGCGATCAAGATGTTCTGATACAGATTTCAGATTGTTTTGCTCTCAGACAAGCCAATTAAACAGCTTTTAGGTGATCACAAATGCTCTTTTACCTCACCGGAAGTGATTTCGAAAGAAACATGTCAAAATGGACCAAAACTTGTTAATATTTTTCTGATGCGTGACAGGAAGGCAGTCCCCGTGGAATCCATAAAGAATTGTTCTTAGACTGAAGAACGTATTTTATGAGAGCTTTTTGAAAAAATGAGTCCGGATAAGGGAAAAGTACCGAAAATATTTATCTAATAATATTCCAAGTTCGGCTGTTTCTGAATCTTGGCATGGCAAATATTCATGTGCAGTACTGTTTCAGCGAGACCAAGATTTGCATCAATTCTTTATTGGCTAACGTTTCGGCGATTTCGCTGATTCTCTATTGGCATCTGAGTGAAGGAGTTACTTGAACTTCGACTTTACAGGTTCTGACGAAGGGGAAATCGCCGAAACGTTAGCCAATAAAGAATTGATGCAAATCTTGGTCTCGCTGAAACAGTACTACACATGAATCATAACTTATAATAACGGGCTAAGGGTTGTTTACGTTTGTCTCTCTCTGTGTGTGTATGTGTGTGTAAGTGTGTATGTGTGTGTATGTGTGTGTGTATGTGTGTGTGTATGTGTGTGTAAGTGTGTATGTGTGTATGTGTGTGTATGTGTGTGTGTATGTGTGTGTATGTGTGTGTATGTGTGTATGTGTGTATGTGTGTATGTGTGTGTATGTGTGTGTGTATGTGTGTGTATGTGTGTGTATGTGTGTGTATGTGTGTATGTATGTGTGTATGTGTGTGTATGTGTGTATGTGTGTATGTGTGTATGTGTGTATGTGTGTATGTGTGTATGTGTGTGTATATGTGTATATGTGTGTGTGTGTGTGTGTGTGTGTGTGTGTGTGTGTGTGTGTGTGTGTGTGTGTGTGTGTGTGTGTGTGTGTGTGTGTGTGTGTGTGTGTGTGTGTGTGTGTGTGTGTGTGTGTGTGTGTGTGTGTGTGTGTGTGTGTGTGTGTGTGTGTGTGTGTGTGTGTGTGTGTGTGTGTGTGTGTGTGTGTGTGTGTGTGTGTGTGTGTGTGTGTGTGTGTGTGTGTGTGTGTGTGTGTGTGTGTGTGTGTGTGTGTGTGTGTGTGTGTGTGTGTGTGTGTGTGTGTGTGTGTGTGTGTGTGTGTGTGTGTGTGTGTGTGTGTGTGTGTGTGTGTGTGTGTGTGTGTGTGTGTGTGTGTGTGTGTGTGTGTGTGTGTGTGTGTGTGTGTGTGTGTGTGTGTGTGTGTGTGAATCTCTGTCTGTCACGAAATTCGTGGAAGGAGTCCCAGCAGAAGTCTTGAGCTAGAATTTGAGTAGTAGCACCCTATCAGCATGTAGGTAACCTGTGCCAAAGGACAAGCCGATCCAATAAGTGGAATCTGCGAAAACTGAGCGCCAAACGGATCCACGCGACTTTTGGCGCGCCAAAGTGGGCCTGTATTTGGAGTTTTTTCAAGATCGTGGATTTGTTTGAAAGTAAATCCGCAAACCATGGACTCCGGCCTGAAAATTGGTCAAAAAGTCTACTTTTACGCAAGACCGGCGTCAAAAGGGAATAATTGCGTGGACAATCGATTTGTCAAAGTTTTACCCAAGAATCAGAGAAGATTTTTGTTCAGAGATGTAACTCATGGTTGTCATCATCCTTCTGGCGATTATCAAGCCATTACAACTCCAGTAATTGATTCAAACTCGCATTTGATCTTTTGGAGAAAACTTTTTTCCCTTCGAAGTCACCGATCATAGACGAAATAGCTTTTAAAATGAGTAGTTGTTTACAATTCATTTGTGATGATCGGCATCGCATGGCAAGTTTCAAAGCCATGAGTTCGCGACTACGAGGAAGGAAGGATGTGGATAGTAAAGCCAGTGCGAGCCTCTGCGAAGCAGAGGTGACGCACTGGTATCTAATAATGATAATGAATAATAAACTGGCATCGTCTTACCATTCGAGCTAAGTTCGAACATTTCGTCACAAGTTAGTTAGGTATCACGTAGTTTTTATTCATAATGCTGAAGATCATGTGATAGTGGAGTACATATCAATAACGAATAAGCCTGTTTCACAAGTTCTTCGTTGGAGTGCATCTAATATCAGCTCATCTTGAGCGTAACGGCAGAATTCTATCGATTTTGTAAGTGAAGCATTCGTATAGAGAGGAGCAAGCTGTTTTATCTGATTCAAGGCACCACACCTCTTCGCCAAGTCTTCGATGAGAGAAAAAGGACATTGACTACATGGCGGGAAAAGATGGTAAATTTTTTTGAACGTCCACTCTATGCAATGTTTGATCGAGAAAAACTACATGTTGCTGATTGTAGAGCATTGTTGCTCAGGAGAAGTACCTGCCTTGGCAAGATCTGTTCCATTGCCTATGATGCCTGTGGCGAAGCGAGACACTGCAGCCATTTAATTTCCGCAAGTAGGTAAACAAGCCGTCGAGATGGAAACTGAGAACCTACAGGCAAGTTTTCTGTTCGGTACATCGTCAATAGTGTTTGTATGCTGGAGATAGAGAACTTTAGGCAATAGCACTACAGCTTCTAGCTCTAATGGATGCGACGTACGCAGGTATCTGTAGTTCGGGGCTGGAAAGTAAGTGCATGTTTGATGATGTGTATCAGTCTCAAATTCGTTATCAGGGTCCTCAAATGTACTGAGAGGACAACAACGAAAACAAGGGACCATATCAGGGACCATAGGGAAGCATATCAAAAAAAAGTGGGAGATTGAAAAGGTCTTCTCTCAAATTTTGCTCGAAACCAGAAAGTTGCTAGTGATGGCGCAAGGCAAAGTGGACTGTCTTCTGCTGATATGCGGTTTCGTCGGAGTACTTTTTGAATCAGAAAAAACAAAAAAAACAAAAAAACACCAGAGTCAATTCTCATTTCAGTCATTTGTTGAAAAGTAAGTAAACTGAAGTCTTTCCGCAATTTTACATCTTCTTTGCGTTGAACACAGTGTGCCTTATCCGACTTCCGTTAAGCTTCGTTAAGAACCCCGCCCAAGATTGTGGCGAAAAATGGACCTAGAGGATTGAAAAATATATAGAAAAACAGATTTTTTTTTGCGAGATCTACTGGTTCCTCTTGCTTGAATGATCAACGTAAACGGATGCTCCAGTGGATGCCTACTGTAGGCTGCCTTGCCCAATTGGAGATCAAGAAACGAGCGGGAAATTGCCGAAAGAGCGCTCCAGAACTTCCCATTGTCACCACAGTACGGCCGGAGCGCACTGGTAAATCGTCTACTCTTTTCTTTGGTCACGTTGTTATTTCAACTTTAACCGTCTTCTTGTTAACGCTATCGCCTGGAGCCATCCAGCCATCGCTACAGTATGGGATTGTAATGAACACACTTCACAACATACTTACCACGGGGAGAGTTAAGCTTTGTCCCGGGCTACCGACGGGGACTCTAACCGCGGTAGACATTTTATAATTTGTCTGTTAACACATTGACGACAAGGCCGATTTTTCGATTACTGCCATTTCGGACAGGAGCCTTTTTTGCTCTGCCAAACTTACGACCCACCCGTGGGTCGTATTGTCCGAAATGGTAGCCTTTTTGTAAGAAATTCAAAACATATCTCTGAGAATATCCCCACAAGGCTTATCGAAGGCGCTGATTATCAAAATATGATTTGTTTCAGTTTTTGGCAGTATACGGTGAGATTACGGTAGTCACTTTGTACGAATCCAACATAACGGATTTTCGTGAAAAATTGTATTTTGGGGTTATTTCACATGCTGATCACGATTATAGTGTCCACTTTGTTCACTACTTTCCCACAGTGGGACTATGGTAGCAGTACGGTAGAATTTTTATAAGAATCAAGAAACTGATGTAAGAAGGCGGTATAAGAACTTGTCAGCATGCTAAAAAACCTATATATGCAAGGTTTGAGCTTCCTGGGATGAACAATGCGAAAAATCAATAAAATCAATAATATCGATAATTTTTGATGGGCTGACATCAGTCTCATGCTCTTCCTGTATTTCTTGTGCATGTAAACTTGAATTGTCAAAAACAGCACCACTCTGCGAGAAATTCGAGTATAATCTGTGCCTTACCTTTATCTACGGTATACCTACCATAACATTACATTACAGTATCCCGGACCCGGACCACTCCGGCTGGAGCTTCGCCAAGGTGTCCCCAATCATGTGCCAGAATACCGTAGAATTCCATCGCATGTTGGCAACGTTAGAGCTTTCGAAAACTTGCGACCCACCGGTGGGTCGTATTGTCCGAAATGGCAGTACATGTACGACCCACCGGTGGGCCGTATTGTCGTCAATGTGTTAAGTGAGACACCCTTCACCCTGGAGGGGCTGCGACCACTGTGACCCCCTTCACCCTGGAGGAGTAATTCTCACTTTACCGCACCTATGTTCGAGAGCCTCTCTGTACTCGGTCTGATCATGAAGTTGAAATTACAGAAAGCAAATAAACTCAATACAGCAATATCACAGGGAATTCCAATCTAAGGGCCGCATGCACTAACATCCCCGCGGGGAGGGGATCGCAGCTTAAAAGAAAGCTTTATATTTCGAAACTCCAGATACCTGGATTTCACGTTGTGTACCTATCCGTAAGTATTCCTACTACCCTTCACTATGAACAGGTTGAAGAGGAGCGAGAAGCTGTTCGAACCGCATTTTCCAGCTTTTATATGATCCCTGATGATCCCCGACGCTTTTCTTTGAAGTCATTTTTCTTTCTCCGAAGTTAACGAAAATCTTCCAAAGTTGTACTGAACATCTAATACAACAGTGCTAAGCATGTTGCTGATGACAACAAATGAGTTTTTGAAAAGTCGAATTTTTCGGCAAACCTCAAATTTCGACCTGTAGATCATCTAAAATTTCATGACTTCAAAACATCATTTGTTCTTATCAGCAACATGCTTAGCACTATCGGTTTAGATCTGCACAACTTTGGAGGTTATTCGTTGACTTCGGAGAAAGAAAAATTACTTTGAAGAAAAGCGCCGGGGATCATCAGGGATCATACAAAAGCTGGAAAATGCGGTTCGTACAGCTTCTCGTTCCTCTTCAACATGTTCATAGTGAAGGGTAATAGGAATAGTTACGGATAGGTACACAACGTGAAATCCAGGTATCTGGAGTTTCGAAATATAAAGCTTTCTTTTAAGCTGGATCCCCTCCCCGCGGGGATGTTAGTGCATGCGGCCCTAAGTGTCACGGTCGGGGCGGAGTGGCGGAAAGAAGGGGGAGGGCTCAGATCCCTGCGACACGCCTCGCTTTGGGGCCGCATGCACTAACATCCCCGCGGGGAGGAGATTGCAGCTCAAAAGAAAGCTTTATATTTCGAAATTCCAAATACTGGATTTCACGTTGTGTACCTATCCGTAAGTACTCCTACTACCCTTCACTATGAACATGTTGAAGAGGAGCGAGAAGCTGTACGAACCGCATTTTCTAGCTTTAGTATGATCCCTGATGATCCCCGGCGCTTTTCTTTAAGGTCATTTTTCTTTCTCCGAAGTTAACGAAGAACCTCCAAAGTTGTGCAGATTATCTAAACCGACAGTGCTAAGCATGTTGCTGATAAAAACAAATGATGTTTTGAAGCCATGAAATTTTCGATGATCCACAGGTCGAAATTTGAGGTTTACCGAAAAATTCGACTTTTCAAAAACTCATTTGTTGTCATCAGCAACATGCTTAGCACTGTTGTGTTAGATGCTCAGTACAACTTTGGAAGGTTTTCGTTGACTTCGGAGAAAGAAAAATTACTTTAAAGAAAAGCTCCGGGGATCAGCAGGGATCATACTAAAGGTGGAAAATGCGGTTCGTACAACTTCTCGCTCCTGTTCAACATGTTCATAGTGAAGGGTAGTAGGAATACTTACGGATAGGTACACAATGTGAAGTCCAGGTATCTGGAGTTTCGAAACATAAAGCTTTCTTTTAAGCTGCGATCCCCTCCCCAGCGGGGAGGTTAGTGCATGCGGCCCTTGGTCTTTCGCCGCCCCAACCCTGAAATTGAATTGGTTGTAGATCATGCAATTCCTGCTTATTATGCTTCCTATAACATTTACTTTGCAGTCTGCTCTGTCCACCCATGGCTGAATTGAGCTGAGTTCAGCTCTATGGAAAAGTGGGAAGCCAGTACGCGGAGCCAGCCCTGAGAGCGAAGACCAGCAAATTATGATAATTATTATGCTATGTATTCATGTGCTCCTCTATAATTTATCAGCCCGTCTGCCACATTTTTTTGTATCTAGAAAACCGCAGTTACAGTCAATGAACCTTTTTTGATAAAGGCTACTTCGCCTTTTAGAATGGATTACCGAGTATTGCTGAGTGCTGAAAACTGCTTTTGTAAATGCTCTGTCATCTCTATTCAATTCCTTCAATTTGTTGTGTGTGTTGTGTGTTTGACTGCCTGCTTTACATTTTGCGTAAATTTGAAATACAGAATCAGTTTGTTTGTCAAATTATAACCTGTTTGGGTGCAACTTTTCGCAGTCTGTGAGATTAAACTACCTCAGATCTCACTGAGAAATGTTCCTTTCCCTTCATTTCTAAAAGCGATGGCAAGAAGGGACGAGAAGGGACGTAGTTGATGAGTGGAGTTCTTTTGTATGGCTTTCATGGCAAATCTCACAGGCTTTACTGACATCATTGAGTCTGTGTATAACGTAAAATGTCTTCAGCTCTGTCTACCTGATAGTTCGGTCTCATTGCTCGATTGTCACAAGTTTTCGTCCATTTTTTTGCATCATAATCTCTTGCGCAGCAGCTGCTGCTATTGTTTGTGTATATTCTTTTGATTCATAATTAGTGAACGCTTTCCTTACCTCTTGCTACATACTGTTTTCGGAGTTATTCAGTTTACCTGGAAATTTTTTTACCTCTTGAAATCTAGATCACTTTCATTTTAAAATTCCATGCTTTCAAATGCAAGGAACTTAAGTTTCGCTTTCATTCTCATTTTCAAGCTCAAGAGAAATAGCTAGAGTCTATTTTATTGAAAAAGGATAACGTTCGCGATGTTGTGCTGTAAATTGCTTTCCGAAAGTTTGCTTAAAAAATCGATTTTTTTCTGGACATCTCTGCGCCTCTTACTATAATATTTCACTACATTTCTCAATTCTGGCGCACTTTTGTATCATAAATAAAATAAAATGGGTGGAGGAGCGAACACCTCAATTAGGCACCGCCCCCGCGGACCACTGGTCCCAACACGATGCATAAGTAGGAGGAAAGGACCAGCAGCCCGCGAAGGCGATGCCTAGCTGAGGCGTTCGTTCCTCTACCCAAATAAAATAAAAGCCTCGAATCGAGAACAGAATTATCCGCTCGCTGTGGCCCCCATGCCAAGGAAAATCTTGAGCGAGAAGTGAAGCAAAACGTTTGCTCAGGTGCAAGAACGGACTAGCACATCCATTGATACAGTAACGTCAAGATGTTACGTTTTTCATCAAGAAACAAATTAGCGAGTTCACAAAAGATGTTTTTTGGCCCCTTGAAAGCCGAAAAGTGAGCCTTGCAGTACTTTTTCGCAAAAGAGGTGCATTTTATAGCGCAGGTCGTCACATACAAACATTACGCCAGTTTGCAAAAAATTCGGTTTTTCGCTGTGATAAAGCAAAAAATTTGGAGAGGGAAATTTTCAGAATTTAGCCTCTTGATTTCGAAAGCACGTAATTTCAGAATGCATCCACTCCTTCTGAAAGAAAGCATGCTCAAGAAACTACAAACAGAGTGCTCTCAGGAGATGCGCATAGTTTTTTAAAGCAATGGAATGTTGATTTGGACCAGCACTTTAAAAAGAGGAGTGAAAAACCTGCATCAAATCTGTAACAACCTAATACAAGAGTGAACGTTGTATAGCTGAAGCTTTATTGTTTGCGGCAGTTCTTACCGCACCCAAAAAGATCGCACTGAAAAATTAGTGTGATTTAGATCCTAGGACCAGTTCTATCCTTGTAAAGTAGTCACTCCCTGTTAGCTAGTTATTGTTATCAAAGTTATTTTTATGTTCATTATTGGACACGTCTAAATTTTCGATTTGTATTGGAGAAACACTATGTAGTTCTTGGTATCTTGGGTTTCTGTTGGATATGAGTGTTTTGCATTCTCTGATTTTCAAGATCAGCTTAGGAAGAGTAGAAAAACCCCTCCGACATCTCTCCATTTTTTTGCGAAAAATTGTGTGAAAAAACTCCATTTTGTAATCTTATCTGCATCCTCTGCGTCCGCAGGCCTGCGCTTAAGCGTCTGAAGTTCTAGTTTGGTGCCAATGCTCTGAAATTTCTATATTTTCATGTCTCCGCTGGTCAGGTCTACGATATCATGTATATGTGCTTTTTACAGTGACAACTAAATTTGGAGCTAGCCGGGGATGTTTGGAAGCAGTCACGTTGAGCCGACCTATATCCTTACGATCGATTTTTCTTTCAAGAGAGCTGATCCAAAATTTCGGAGACAGTCTGAACTTGATCAAGGTGAATATGTACACTTTGCAGATGGCTATTTGGAGGACTGACTAGCTTTAAAAATGAGCGGTAGGAAGAAACTTGCTTTGATACTTATTATTGGTTTCGTTATTGGTCACAAAGAATAAAAGCCACACAGGGTCCACCAGTTTCTGTAGAGAGTAAGTATTGAGCGAGTTAGATTGCTTCTTTTTCAATTTTCATAGGAATCGTGAGTTATACTAAAGACCTGAGGCTAATTTGCCCTTATTTTCGACGCTTGACGGTTTTCAATTCTATATGATAGTTCGTGATATATATCAAGCAAATCCAAATCCTTCTTGGTTGCAAAAAAAGTTTGATGGCCATTTCTTTTGAAGAATAACAAGAAGCTGCAATGCGTTAGCATGAAATTTACATGCTGTCATGGCAAATTAGCCTCATTGAGAATCAGAAAAAAAGCAGACCAGAACAACCGTCTACTTAATTACGCGTATCGCATTTCTCTTCTACATACGCAAATCTCATAAACTTGATTTTCTTGGAACAGAACTCAAATTTCTTGGCATTCCATGTCTCACTTGATTATTTCTTTGTCCGAAACAGTCCCTTGAGTCAGGAATGGAATATGGTCACTACCAACTCAAAATGTGATTCTGTTAGAAATTTGCAAAATTACATGAAATTACAACTTGTTGAGAAGAAAATCCGACAATTTTGATGGTGTAGAAAAGCAATCTAGCGTTTTTCACCATTCTGAAAAGTTATTGTAAAAAAAACAAAAAACAAAAACAAAAAAAAAACGAAACCCCCTTTGCTTTTTGCCCCAAAAACGATATCCAGCTTGCCCCGTGCCAGCTGGTGCCAGGCCCTGTCAGGCGTTAACCAGCTACATTGTGCTACGCGTGGTAGTGTTATTGTATCAGGTCGATCCGAAAGTTCGTGCCGTTTATCAGACCCATGCTCAACTTAGGATAAAGATAGACAAAAGCTGTAAAAACTATCCGATGCATAATTTCTTCCTCTTTCTAATGGTTATGCATTTGTTCAGATCCCCTTGACGTCCGCTCAATAATCAGCAGGGATCTGCAATCCGTAATTTTTTTACCCATCTCGAGTTTGGCTATTTTTTAAAATTTCCATTTTCAACTTTTGGATTAACATTGGTAACACTTGGATAGAACAAAGAAAATGCAATACAGTGGACTATTTTGGCTTTATCAACTAACTTTACAGTATTTCTCGAAATCATTCTTCCAAAAGCCCTTATTTTTGCGAAGTCGTGAAATCACAATCGCTTCGAACACTGACAAATCTTCGGAATATGAGGCTTCCAAAAATAGCTTGCTACTTAACGCTGATTTTAGTAAGCAAATGAGTGCATAGCGGTTCAAAATAGTGGAGTTCGAATTTTCTAGGTACAGCCTGGGAGGAGTCTCGAAACAAGAATTATAATGCTTTTGTCCTCATATATTAGGTTGTCCCGAAAGTTTTGTCCGTTTTTTTCATCGCTCACTAAAACCCACAGAACATCAATCCATAGATGTCTTAGGCCCCGGGCAGACTTCACGCGATTTGATCGTCGCGACTGAGTCGCGACGAGACAACTGTTACAACATCATTCCATGCCGATCAACTTGCATTCGGTTGTGATACATTTCCAGCCCGAATTTTTGAATGTGAAATGAAAATGAATGGAAATCTTGGCGATTAGATCGCGACGATTAAGTCGCGTGAAGTCTGTCCGGAGCCTTACGTTGCTTCAATTCAGATTTTTATTCTCTTTCTTACAGCTATATTTGCTCTCTGATCTACCTTGTATTTGCGATGTTATCGACATGGCTTTTCGAGCAGGTCAACAGTAACGCCAAACCTCTCCTAAATTTTAAAAATTTTATCCTGATGTTTTCAAGGAGCGCTAACAAATGTTATGTAGAGCAAACCTTTGGCTACATTCTGCCTATTTTGGACTACATGGGGCGCTTTTATCAATTCCGTAATAATTATTTATTTAAGAAAAACCGCGGCTTTTTGATTACATTTGCCACCAAAATTTATCGAAAATTCCAAAAAGCTGCTTTCTCAAAGCAAATCGAACTTGAAAAAATCATGTTTCAATTCACAGAAATTTCAAAAGCTTTCGTGTATTTGCTGCAGTTGCGTGTTTCATGAATTGGCCAAAAATCGAGACCTCCGAAAAATATAATTTTTCAAAGCTAAAAACAGTAGAGCGGGAGAACATAAAACTATTTCCTTGCAGTCCGAAAATTGCTCTTCTGGTCCATACTTACCTTTTCCGAAACTTTGAAATGAAATTTTGAAAATTAGCCGAACTTTGAGCAGATAAAATTGACGGGTGAAGAATTTTGGCAATTATCAAAAAAAGCATACAAGATTATGGTTCGATAATGTATCCCTAAGAAAGAGAAAGAAAAGCTGTATCGAATGCATGTTGAAGCTCATGCAGGTCTTTATTGTGCGTGGTTTTATAGCAGTTTGAAAAAACCGACAAAACTTTTGGGACAACCTCATGTTATAAAAATCAGGAAGAAAAGAACTTTATCAGAAAAAAGAGGAAAAGCTGCATCCATTGACATCCTGGTTGCTTGTCGTTTATTGTTCCGTGAGGATTGGAATGCCCAGATATGGAATTTGATAACATCAGATAAATATTTTTGAAAATTTTGAGAAACTAGTGAGAGATGCCAAAAAATTCTATTGTACTGCATTTTGTCTAGGCTATTTAGTTGTCATCGAAGCTAGTCCAAAAGTTAAAAATGGAATTTCTAAAAAACAGCCAAATTCAAGCTGGGTGACAATCATGGGTTGGAGATCCCTGCCAATCACTGAGCGAAATCTAAACCAAAACATAATCGTTAGAAAGAGGAAGAAATTTTGCAACAGATAGTGTTTGCTTCTTTTCTCTGTTCTTATTCTAACAAGGAAATGATACTTGGTGACCCCGGCCATTTGGAATGCGATGTATACCATGAGGTGCATCTCAAAAAGCTGATTCCAAATCTGTCCTCGAAATCTGTGAAACGATCATTAGGAGGCAGTTTCTATTTTTCGTAGAAAATTTGCGTACTTTCAGGTACTTGAAATCACCCAATTTGATCTATTTTACCATTTGAAGCTATTGAGGAGAAACTTGAAAGGTAACGTTGTATTTATACCTATCTAAATCATATTCAGCATAAGAGGAGAGGAATTTTTATTAATGATTTTCACCCTCCGCAGCAGCGCAATTCATTCTTGAAAAAATAATTGTAACTTTATCCAGGTTTTCGTTTCGCAGATATGGAAAACAGTAATAGAACCAGCATTGAAAGGCGCGTTTTTTGAAATACAAACCATTATGAATGGGGGTCACCAGGTATCCTTCCGTGCTAAGTGGTTTGAGCATGGGTCCGAAAAACGGCACGAACTTTCGCACCAAACTAATATTTGGGAGTAGTCGGAAATTTGACCTTCGCATCAGAAGGTTAAGCGAAAAACATTCATTTGATCCTCATTTTTTTCAGATAAAATCATTTGGGAGAACAACTGGAGGGAGGTCATCACAGATTTATCAGTTCGATCGGTCACATACATAGGCCGGCAAATTGGCGATGGATATTTCTGAGCTTGGATCGGTTATTACATCGTTTTCATTCTATTTATCACATCTCAACTGCTGCTATAATCTTTTGAGTCCTGACCATTACATGCACATTTTATCGAAATAATCACCCAGCGTAACTTGAACCAGTGCTTTACTCATTGTTCTCGTGAGTCATAAATCTTGAGAAGGTTTTTACACCTGATTTCACGCTCCTCTATCTCACCATTTTCGTCAGTTTATTTTCATCAGTTTCTCTCATGGTGAGATTTCTAGATAAGGAGTTGATATCCTGAGCGCTTTAGAGATCATATCAATGTTCAATAATCAATCAACAATTGAGTCGCTCACTGCCGCCACTTGATATCAATCTCTCTAATCTGTTGTATTCTTTCGAAATGACTCTACATTTTCATGGGTGTATGTCAAGAGGCGCGATTTTTATTGCCAGCTGGACAGCAAATAGCACATATTTGGTGTTTTATAAGGTTCTGGGAGTCTTTCAGAGTTTAGGGGAGATATATTGGATACTTGCACAAGTTGTCCAGTCTTGCTATGTCAAAAGCGATTCGAAATGAAAATGTTGAAGGTCAAAAACTCATGAAAATGCAATAAACAACAAATTTGTATTTATTTTGGTTGGATTTGCAGCAAAAGCCTTCAAACTCAGCAAGTAGTAACTATAGATGACTAGTAAACCAATGTACTTTGTCTGGTGCTTTTTGAAGACTTGCATAGCCCTAAACTTGAGTTTTGAATTGGTGACACCCAGAGAAATCGCGCCTCTTGACCGTCTCCCCAGTTTCATATCTCCTTTGTCGACGCCAGAATTTGTTTGCTGTCATGAGCCAAAAAATGCAAACTTTTTTCTCAAAAGAGCACTTCAAATTGTAGAGCTCGTACTGTTTGTTATAAAGTGTGTATGGCAGTATCAGTACATTGCAGTCATTTAACTATGAATTGTATCAGCAATTTAGATTCCAATCTCTTTACAGATTTCGAATGGCGTACTAGCACGCATTGCAGGTGTAGAAAAAAAAGCGATTGTATTCTAATGATGGAAGATTTAGTTGTCAGAAAAAAATCGTCCTCATAGTAACTTGTTAAAAAGAATAAGACATCCACGAAAGGAACTGTTGCAAGGCATCATCTCTATTCTTCACCTTGATTCAAACAATATTCTCAAAATATTAGGTTGAAGTTCGTTCGCACCATTTTCAAAACTCGTAACTTTTTTCTCTCACGACAAAAATATCGTAAGAGAAGGAAGGCAAAGCGTGTACTTCCTAAAGACACCTTGACTGCTTTCTAATAAGCTTTAGTTGCAGAGATTAAATTGGGAAAAGGATATCATCAGTTTCGGAATTTTAAATCAAAGCCGTCAAAAATTCCAAAACTGTGCCTTAGAATCCAAAACAGGCAGTAAAATAGCTTCTCTGATTCCCTTTTTTTAACTGAGCAGAATTCGTGGTGACCAAGCCTTTCTTAAAATAGTTGTGATTTTCGGAAGAAAATGTCAAAAAACTTTGGCAATTTCTCTCGAAAATCATAACTTCTCAGAGAACAGCTTGACCAGCGCCAATTTTGCTCCGGTAGAAAGAGGGGTCAAATAATCTAGGACACAGCCTGTTATGAATTCTAAGGCACTGTTTTGGAATTTTTGACGGGTTTGCTTCAAAATTCCGAAACTGATGATATCCTATTCCTAATTCGGTTCAGGGAAATCCCTATGTGCCATAAATCATTTTTTACAAAGTGAAGCTAAGGTAGTGCTCAGTCGCTCCTGCGCTCACTACAGAATCAATTTTAAGGCCAAAGATTTATAAACGGCTTCAAGGAGTTGAAGAGAAGCATGATGGGCTTTGAATGAACGCAATTCTCAAATAATAAATGTTGCTATAATTGAAGGTCTAGTTTATTCAGTTGCAAAAAATGTAGGCGATGAATGTAAAAGGCAAGGGAGACATCTAAATTGGGAACCAAGTGTTGTGTTGGTTCTGCTCCAAAATTGCCACTATTCGGTTTCTGCAAAGCCGGTCTGTCGATGCATTGAGTAGTGGGGTAAGCTTTGTTGAGAAACTTTTTTCTCTATTAAAATAGACCAGCAAATCAGCGAAATATTCTTGTTTACAGGGACATATTTGATTCATCGAGAAACTATGTTTTTATGTCTTACACTGATTTATCATTTATTAGTTGCAAACATTTTCATGCTTGCTGGCCGCCTTTGCTCATCTTCTTGCTAGAATGCATTATAGAATTTTCGACAGTTGCTATCTTCCTCAGCTACATCTGATCTATGTCACATAGCGAATTTCTTACAGTGCATAAGCTTGCTGAAGAACAGAATTCGTCATAAACTGCAATTGTTTGCGTTTTATGCCTTGAGAGATTTCGAGTTTTTTTCGTAATTCTGATTCTTCTCTATCTATCAAATTACCAGTGGCGGTCCGAGAAATTTTTTTCGGGGGGGGGGGGGGCGCGACAAAAATTTTTTTCTAAAGAAGGTGCGTGGCGTTAGCCACGCACTCCGAAAAATTTTTGGGGTGCTTCTCAAAATTTTTGCGGGTCTCCGACCCCTAAAATCTGGAAAAAGGGGGCGTGGCGTCAGCCACGCCCCCGAAAAAAATTTTTTATAAGGCTAAAATGAATTTTTAAAAAATTTTAAAAATTATTTTAATTATTTTCAAGTGCAAACAGGTCGTTTGCACATTTTTACAACCCATATAGGTAAGTTTCAAAAATTTCGCGACCCATTCTCGGGGGGGGGGGGGGCGCGCGCCCCCCCCCCCGCCCCCCCCCTCGGTCCGCCACTGCAAATTACATATGTTCAGCTCCCACCGATACGGCCTACCACAACAGAAGAACGAAAAGAATGGAGCCAAAAATTTGAACGAATATATCGCCACTTGTATCGTCACTTTATTCAAAAGAGAGCTGCGGTACGCCCTTTCACATATTTTGTGAGAAAACCAGCGAACTATTATGCTCATCGAATTGACTGTTAAAAGTGGCAAATCAAGCCAAAAGCGTCTCCGTCTGCATTTCGATTTTACCCAGGACTTCGAACTTAACCAATTTTCTTGTCAGGGTGGTTAATCATAAAGACCTCGTCCACTGTCTAGAGAACCAGCCTAATTAAATATTGGGTCACTTCGAGATTTCTTACGTTTTTCATTGAGTTTCATCAGAAAGCACATCTTGCAGACGAGTAATCAAAAATAGCAAGACCATTAAAGCATAACCTCTTTCTTCTTTGTGCTGAATCTGTGAAGTCCATTTCATTGCAGGACTTGCAATGGGCCAGGTTTATCTTTGTCTAAGTTCCAAGTTTGTTCCGCTTTTTATGCAAACTTTGCGAAGGCAACAGAAATCTGTTAGATAGAGCAAACTTAATTTTATTCCGAATCTTCTCTGTTTTGATCATGACCTTATCGCGAAGAATCTTTATCGAAATGGTATTTTGCTAATAGGTGAAAGTCCACAATGTTATTTTTCCAAATCTTGCTTTTTGCAGTGAAACACGGTTTGTCGTGTCGACTTATGATTTGAAAAAAAAAACACGAATTTTTGAGCGAATTAGTATCTGCTCGGAACCCGTCTGCGCACAATCTCTTCTTTCACAAGAATAGATTCTGGGTAAATTTGTAGGACGGTAAAATTTGAAGTGACCTAATATCCTGTATCAAAAACCAGGTCATAGTGCATATCCAATTTCTATTAACAACGAGCAATCAAACCCATCGCATGGGCACTCTTTAATGGCATCGTCCCCCCAGAATCTCGGCTTCCATGCTCTGGTCGTTCCGGGGGCTTATCATATCCCTGACTAGGAATACGAAATCGAGAATGAGCGAAAACCCCCATATTCCCCGTTCCGAAGAACCCACAGGCCGGTTTAGCGGAACGGTGGATGGGCACGCACAGATGGGCGGGCATTACTGGAGGGGTGGTGCCGACTTGGGGTCCTCATGCCTTCTCGCTTTCCCAAAGCGATTTTCTCGCTTCTAAAGCAATATGTTGCGCCGCGACTTGGGCATTGCCTTGAGAGGGGGTCCTCCTAGCTGTCGAGAGCTCAAAACCGCTAACTTAGGGTGGACGGTGCCTTTGAATGAGTAAGTGGAACTTAAGAGAATTTGTCTGATTTTTCGTTTTAGCTTGAATAAAAATGCATTTTTGCAAGAAATCTGCTATGAACCATCTATTTTTGTCTGTAATCTGACTTGCGCTTTTTGACCAATTTGTGATTGTCCAATATAAACAACCCTCTTGAATCCTAAGCTTTTTCAAGTGATGTTTCGCTAATAATAATAAAAGACTTGAAGCTAAGAAATTAGCTTCCGAAGTGCATTTGAGTACCCTCATCAAAACAGTCTACCGCTTTTGAAGCTGTAGAACAGATTCTTGATAATTCTTGATAATAGAGAATTCTTGATAACGTACGATGAGAAATTTTAATTCATCGAGGGGTCTCATTTATGGATCATCTTCCTCCCCTACTCCAAGTTTAGATTCGCTTACATCGTCAAAGGCATCCATCATTTGTTGAAGCTCATGCTTGACAGTTCTTCTCGAATGAATTTATAACATCATATATAAAAGATGAAGCAGCTGCAAAGGCCTTTAGCTAACTTATATCATGACCCTAAGTTTCGTTAATCTTGAAGCCATCTCGAAATTGAATCTACGCCATTACGAAATTATCATTTTACGCTCGGTTTCATCTCTCGCTCGTTTCATGCCGGATAAATATGCGAATGTTGACGCTCTTTAGGCAGTTGAAATTCTAGTGTTTTAGGTACAACCGCGGATTAAACTGGGAGTCTCTGCGAGATTATCCAAGCTATCGCTTTTGAGAGAAAAATAAATAAGATGGCTTGGGTCTTGGGTGGTGTTTGCAACTCATCACGAACGCAGATCGAAGATAATAAAATCTTAGCACCTCAGCGCCTCAAACTCGAATTGAAACCCTTTGGAATCTCTCAAGGTAGCCTTATTTTTCCTCTGAAAAACCACGAAGAAATGATTGGCAGTAGGTAGAGATAAGTGGAATGTAAACGATATATTTAGCACTCAACCTCGAAAATGGAAGCCCTTGGACAATACTTTTAGATAAACAGCTTTTCTGAAAATGAATAAATGAATTGATTTGGAATTTGCAGATATATCATTACCACTCTATTCTCATCATTTACTCGCGTGGTTACTTGGCGGATCGATGTGATAGTTGTCGGTTACGGTACTATTCTTTCCCGCCATTGGAGATCAAGGGAATGAGCGGGACGAAGCACCCGGATGTGTTAAAGGGCATTCACTGTTCACTGCGCCATACGACAGCGTCACCACATTTGGTTTTTATCCTTCTTCGTCCACGTTTTTCCGAACCATCGGAGTATGGTGATTATCCAATGTTAAAGGGTATTCATAGTGAGTTTGAAAGATTTATTTGCACTTACTGCAGAATAACGACTTGCCTCTAGAGTGACAGGATGCCGTCAGAGATTCGTTCTCCGATTCGCTAAACTTACGGTAAGTTTTATTAGCATATTGCCCAAAAGCTTGACTTTTATCTTAATTTCAATAATGGTTTTTTCTACAAGCAGACGACGGAACCTATTTTGCATCGGCAGCTTGGACCAACTAGGGGTAGCAAGGTGCTGCTCCAGACAAGAACAACAATACTATGGACATGGCATGGACACATCAAAAGGTGTGTTTATATCTCCGTATCTAGCAATAAGAGTAGTCAGGCGAGTTGTGGCATAAAGACGGCTACGAGGTATCCAAAACTATGTGAATTAATTTATGTAATTCAAACAATGTGCGCTAAAGAACGTTGAATAAGTCTTTAAATTTTTTTGGTGAATTATAGAAGTCAGTTTGAGGGTGAACATCAAAGTTTCGTTTTGAAAAAATTTCCTCACTCAATAATGATGAAGTACAGAGTTGTAACAATTTTACTACGCAATTCTTACTTGTTCTTCAATCATTTTCGACTAATTTTGAAGCTATGCACGCTTACAAAATGTAACTCAATCGGCATTATTTTGCATTTTTTCCTTGGAATTGAAGGCATGCGTTGTATGTTTGTTTCCATGGAATCATAGTCTCCCAAAGAAGTCTTGGTTCATCATTGCGCTGGTTTTGTACGTGGAGATTGCTAAGCTGGCTGGAGGAGAGATACCCGCCAAAAACAGCGACTGGGTGCAGGAAACTTTAACTCCACCCATTATAGCAGCAATTGGCTGGTTGGCTCAGGGTAGCCAATCGCGTCATAGTTGGCGGGAATGGCACGCCCAGCCTTTCCAGCAATCTGCAAGGCCGGTAAACATCATGAAAGCACTTTTTTGACTTTTTAGCACAGTCCTGAACTTAGCGCATCCAGAAGGCCAAGGAAGGGTGGAAACTCGCAATTGCAATCTTCACTGCCTTTCAGTTTGAAAGATCCACACTGTTTGCATCTACTAATGCTTGAAAAGGAAAGTTGCAGGAAAATCTACAAGTAGATTTTTCTTTCCCTTACATTCACAACACTTTGGACTTACAAGCATTAATTGATTCTCAGAGATAGTATGGATAAAGTCTGGCGCAAGCTTTGATAACGATTCCGCTTGAGAAGGGCTGGTTTTTGGGCAAGAGACATAGCATCAATTTTCAATCCTTTTAAGGCTCAATGCTAATCAGTCAACATCACTTTTTTCTTAGCGACACCTCTTTGAAGTGCCTACGGTTCCGTCTTTTTGCTAGAACTCCAAGTTGAGGGAAGGCTCTCACTCAAGACATTCAACATGAGCTAATTGAACATGTTCATGTTCTGGAACGAGGATTTTTATAATCAGAAATGAGGTTCAATGGATGTGGTAGTTCAAGATTCTTTTTTACTGCTTTTAGTGATGTTTCTGACCGCGGAACTGATTATGAAAATGCATTTTAGATCTCCGAAAATCATTCGCAGGAAATACTGGAATTTGAATTGAGTGATTTCTCCAGCACCGCATATTTTTGAGGTTATAGCCTTGAGAGTATAAAAAATGTAAAGACAGATCAACCATTTCTGTATTGTCATCAAAAGATTCATTTCAATCTTGTGTAATGTTTTGGCTACTTTTCTGTCAACGGTTCTAACTTGTCCCATAGAGTATCTGGATTGATACCCAAACTTCCAAGATATCGGATTTGAAAAACTTCTCAAAAGAGACGTCGGTGTTTTTGTCGATGATTTCTCCTTTTATACTAACTTTTTTGCAATTCTAAGTATCAAGTCGGTAATACAGTTCGTGCCGTTTTTCAGACCTAATGGTGGAACTACTTAGAATAACGATAAGCAAAAGCTCTAAACAAGCTTCCGATGCCCTTTCTTCTTCTCTCAAGCAATTACGTTTTTGTTCTGAGTCCTCCAATGATCGCTCAGTTAGTCGTAGAAATCTCCAATTTATGATTTTTACTTACCCATATTATAGCAATTTTTTGAAACTTCCATTTCAAACTTTAGAAAGAACTTTGACAACAGATGAATAGAGCAAACATTGTAGACTACGAAGAATTATTTGGTCTCCTCAATTGGCTCTCAATGATTACAAAATAAGTTTTCCGAAGTTTTGAACTTTTGCGATTTCCTAAAATACAGAGTGTCCGTAAAGTATGTATACACTGTTTGATCGTTAATATCTTTCTTCCCAACAAGTCTTTTCCTTGCTTCAGGTAGTGTTTTGTAGAGCTGGCTTCAACTTAGATTTGCAGTGTAGAACGAATCACCCATCTCTCTTCAATACTGTAGGATTACGGTAGAAAGTTCAAAGAGGGTTTTGAGCCAAGAAAGGCCATATTTAGCCCCAGAAAGGAAACCCAAACAGCCTGAAAGCTTTTACACTAGGCTAATTTAAAGTTGCTGATTCTAATTGTAAAGTTCCCAGCTTATTATGATGCTTCTTTGAAGAGTTATGCCGGGAAAGAGATAGCGGCCATTTTTTCAGTGTTCCTAAAAAGTGCAGTTACACCGTTAAAAAAGCTTCGCAATCTTGTGAATAGTTGAGTATTGAACTCAGCGTCCATAAAAACCCCATCCCACAAGTTTTCGCATTTTTTTGATGGTTTTTGAGACGGCAGCTTTTTCCACATTGACACCATATGTTTCAAGTTTCTACCGTAATCCTACAGTAATGAAGAAAGATGGGTGATTCGTTCTACAATGCAAATCTAAGTTGAAGCCAACTTTACAAAGCGGTACTTGAAGCAAGGCAAAAGACTTGTTGGGATGAAAGATAGTAACGATCAAACAGTGTATACATACTTTACGGACACCGTGTATATTAGGTTGAACCGGAAGTTCGTTCGCACCATTTTCACAAAATCGTCACTTCTTTCTCTTACTATGAGTTTGCACGAGAAAAACAATATTGCTAAGAGCAAAACGTATACTTTCTAAAGGCTACTTAGCTATCTTCTAAGCTTTGATTGTAGAGATAAAATTGGGAAAATGAAATTGCTCCAATTTTGGAATTTGCAAGCGCGTTAAAAATTCCAAAACTGTGCCATAAAATCTAAAGCAGCTAGCAACCTAGGTTTTTTGATCCCATCTTTCTAACAGAGCAAAATTCGCGCCAAATGAGCTCTTTTCAAGTTGTGATTTTCGAGAAAAAAATGGCAAAAGATCAGCTTCTTAAGAAAATTGATTTTTTGACATTTTTTTCAAAAATCATAACTTTTCAAAGAACAGCTTGATCACCGCTATTTCTGCTCAGCTAAAAAGAGCAATCAAACAATCTAGGACACTGCCTGTTTTGAATTTCATGGCACACTTTTGGACTATATAACGGGCTTGCGTCAAAATTCCGAAGTTGAAGTGAGTTCTTTTCCCAATTTTATCTCTGCAATCAAAGCTTAGTAAAACGCAAGCAAAGCTGCTTTAGAAAGTATACGCTTTGCTCTGTCTAACATTATTTTTGTCACGCAAGACTATCGCAAAAGAAAGAAGTCACGATTTTTTGAAAATGGTTGAACGAACTTTGGGTTCAAGTAATATTGGGTTGAACCAAAAGTTCGTTCAGTTTGCTTTTAAAAAATTCTTAAGAGCTTTCTATGTGAACATTGCTCAGAAAAAATAGCATTAAAAAGGAATACCACCTACTTTTTAGTAACATCCTCGATGTTCTTTAAGGGCAAGAGACTTCAGAGATGAGAATTCAAAATCGAGAAGCACTAAAGCTACCGAATTTCGAAAATAAATCGTTAAAAATCTGAAACGCTGCAGAAAAATCTGAAAACATGTTTCTTATAGGTTCTGTAAGCTACTCTTTCTGCTGATGTCAAATTCGAGGAGAGAGCCTTTTAAAGTTATGATTCTCATGAAAAATGCAAAAACGGCAAAAATGACGTTTTTTTGCACTTTTCAGCATTTTTTTGAAATCGCAGCTTTTCAGTTCAATCTAATATAAACGCTTCACGAGTAAGGAAGAAGATTTTTTTAGGAAAAAGGGAGAAAGAGCTGCATCCTAAAATCTAGCTGCTCGTTATTTTTGATGTATATTATAGGCGATTGAAACACCCAAATATGAAGTTCGGTAGCATAAGAAAACTTCAAAATCTGCAAACCTAGCCACAGATGCCAGAAACCATTGTATTGTAGTTTTTGAAAGTTTGAAAAGAGAATTTCAAAAAATAGCTAAATTTAGAGTAAGTAAAAATCGTGAATTAGAGATTCAGTCGATTAATGGAGCGATTATCAAAGGACTCGGAACAAAAACCTTACTTCAAGAAAGAAGAAGAAATTCTCCATCAAAAGCTGTTCAGAGCGTTTTCCTACAGCTATTCGTAGTGAGTATAGGTCTGATAAGAGGCACAAATTTTTGGCCCGACATGATACCATAAATTTTGGCCAGAGCAACAAGAATTTTAAGATTTTAAGCAGGTTCAGATTTACCGCCGTCTGTGGTGGGAGGAGTGTTTCACATTTTAACAATATCTGTCTCTTGTGCTTTTTGTGAAGTTTATGAATCAGGCTTCGTGATATGTAGTATTGTCAAATATCATACTTTCTACAGTAAGGCATCGTAGTACTCTAAAAAGCTTGTGCTTGAAGTCGAAAATATTCCTTAAACACAGGTGAACTAAACGAGAAACGTCTTGAGTGAAAGAGTTCCGTTCTTTGAGTTAACCTAACCTTTACTTGATCGTTCGGTACGTCTACGCATTTCCTTTTCTGAGGTTTATTTTTATTAATGATTTGTGTGCTCTGCAAGATTTTTCAAACGAATTTATTTCAATTATGTGCAGTGGTAACATACAATTGAAGGAATAATATAGTTTCTTTCAGGGAGATTTGCGGCAGCATGGGTCGGGAGTAGGCATGGTGGGTGAATTTGAGGTAAGTTGGTGTGGAAGGGTGTAGGTGAGAAAGGTGGGAAGGTGAGTGTGTGAAAGGGGGAGAGTGCGTGGAGGGAGTGTGAGTGGGGTAGGGTGAGGGTGAGCAAGTGGGTGAATATGAGAGCGTGTGGGTGAGTTAGGAGGCGCAAGTGTGGGTGCGAGAGGAAGTGAGGGTGAGGGAGGTGGTGAGTGTGAGGGTAAGAGAGGGAGAGAGTGAGCAAGGAAAGAAAGTGAGTAGGTAGGGAATCACAGCAATGCGGTGGGTGTAGTTGATCTCGGACTTGGAAAAGTGCTGTGCCTCCTGCAACTGACGTCAACCTATCCCCTCCTCTACCATATCCTTTCTTACCTTCACAGTCTCTTCCCTTTCTCACGCTCCCTACCTCACACACACTCACCCACTCCATCTCCCACACCCTCACCCTATCTCACCCTCACACTCACCCCCCTTTCACCCACACTGACTCCCACACTCACCTGTAATTTCCATAGTTCTTGAAAACCTCGGCCGACCTGAAACGCTTAGTGATTATACGCAACCTAAGAAGTATATATGTGTAAAAAAAATTGAACATGGTGTTCTTACATATTGTTATTTACAATGGAAAACTCACACATGGACTCTTCGTTAAATCTGATATGTCGTGGATGGTCCTCCCGCGAATGGTCCCCACTCGTCTTCCTTGTACACTGAGGAAAGACCCTAATAGAAACAGGTTTTGACAGATATAGTTAACACAGTCCAACTCACCCAGTCGTCCGTGATGTGTTATCCGGCGGAGGACTTTCGAAGCGATGCCCTTCGATCCGTACTATTAATTCACCTATATTTCTGCAATTTTAAGTTGAACTCAGACACTTATAGATCAAACGATCTTTAGCGTATTGGGGATTGGTGTTTTGTAACAGTCTCTGCACATCCAACTATAGAACAGTTCAATGTCTCCAACGAAACCAATACGATCGAATAGAAAAAAGAAATTTTACTATTTAATTATTTGAGTGTACACAGTGAACGAAATTCAATCTGCTTTTCCTTAAATCCGACTATGCCGACAATACATTGTACAATGAAGTTCTCAAAATGTGAAAAAAAGTTGGCTGATCGAGCTGTTACACTGTTTTCTGCAACGGCAAGCACAAGAAAGCTTTGCGGACATTTCAAAAATGGTCTAAATGTTCTAGTCCGCAAGTTCGTTTGCACCATTCAAAAATTTTTTTCACTACACTCTGCATGGTGTTTGCCAAAATATGAATGTCAATAGAAATTACTCATTTTCACATTGGACATGTGAATATGAGTAATTTTTTGCATTGGTTTCGCACCTTAATCTAATTAACGCCAAAAACAGTGCTGCCAGAAGCAAAACCTCTAGTTCCAAATAATAATGATTTCAAGGAGATCCATTGAGATGCTAGGATGTTATGATTTTTTGGAAAAGGCGGAGGAACTTTTGGTTCGAAGTAGTAGTGTTTAAGTGCGAAAGTCTTGCTTTCACTTTTCAGAATCTGAAAATGATAAGCTTTAAGCAATCTTTTATGAAAAGTTTTCCCTGATATCCTCCGACATCCTAAATTTTCTGAAATGGTGACTAACGCTATACTTAGAGAAAGAAACCATATATAAGAAACAGCTCAATCAGCCAATTTTTGGGAGGACTGTTTTTGTCGAACTTGAATCAAAATAAAGTTCAAAATTTGTCCACTGTGTGCACTTAAACAAATAGTAAAACTTCTTTCTTCTGTTCGATCCGATTGATTTTATTGAATTGTGAGAAGTGTTTTACAGTTGGATCTGTGGAGATTTAGTATTAGGTCGGTAAACAATCTTGCCCCATAAATTTGAAATTCATAATAACCCATTTTCAATGGGAAATTTCACTATGGAATATTATGTAGAGAAAATCTTTCACATCCCAAAGTTACATGAAACGAGTTATATAGCTCCAGCAATGATACAAGGAATTAAGTTGTAACAGAATTAAAACAGGTTTTTCAGACTTCTTTCTCGAAATGCTGGTTCACAAGATTTTACGGTGTCTCAGAAAACTGCGTATAGCATCTGAAAGCCTCTTCTACTTTCTTAGGCATGCCTTCGTTTCAAGAGGAATGGGTTCATTGCAAAATTCCATGCTTTTGAACTCAAGAGATAAATCCTGAAAATTTTTATTTTTACGCACTCTGATCTAAATCCACCGCGAGGCCGCGGTTTTTGCAAACTGACGTGTTCTGTGCTACAGAATGCAACTTGAAGCAAATTTTTCAGAAGTTTTCAAACTGAGAAATTTCATTTCAGATCCAAACAATCGCTGCTATCATTCTGCGGCCTATAAAAATCCTAAGTACAAAGCAATTGCAGGGCTTTTGCCATGTACAGAAAGAATAAATGTAGGACCTTTGATAGCAGAAAAATCAGAAACTGTTTTTCTCTTCACCGGCAAGAAAATAAAAAAAAAACAAAAAGGCACTTTTTTGTCTTTTCAGAGCAGTTGAGATGAATGAGCAATTACAAATCTTTTGCAATATTTTCCAGCAAATTTTTTTTCATAAAATTCAAGCTGAACGTTGCTGCATAACCGACTACTCTCCACATAATGGGTGGAATTTGCTATCCTTCTACATTGTGAAGTAAATTACGGCCTCTCAAACTGAAGGTTTTACAAGAAAACTACTAACAGCCTTGGGCTATAAAACTTCTCTCAGTGAAGCTACAATGACATAGTTTGCTACAATTTTTATTGAAAAGATTGGCTATTTCTGTAAAAAGTTATGGCAAATTGAACCCAAAAGTTGCAAAACTTGTATTAATTCTGTTACAACCGAATAATTAGGTAATAAAAGTAGTCAGAGAGTGGTTCTGCTTTGATAACTAAAATCTACTGAATTTCAATCCTTAAAAAACCCTTAACAGCATTTTAAATGTTTGAAAGGTACTAGGTCCTGAGAAGAGGAAGATTCGGGTATTTGAAGCATTGAATTTTGGGATTCTCCACGGAAGTTTTACATCACAAGATTGACTGAAGGTTGCTCTCTAAACTATGTCTAAGCTAAGGTCAAATCATTTCCACCTTGAACCTGAGAAGAAATAGAAATCTGACCAACAACACCTCTGTTGGTTTACAGAAAGGGAACTTGCCCACTTTGGTTGAGCACTTTGTGGGAGATTGCATTCTGCTCTTTTTCTAATTCTCAGCATTCGCATGACAAAAAATCCAAAGTCATTATTTGAACAATTTTGCTAGATTAAATAGCATGACGTCTAAACTTCAAAACATCTCATCGTTTCTTTTCTTTGCCACATTTTCATTCCACTACTTACAAAAGGAAAACAAAGACTATAACAATGGGTTCGATTACGGCTCTATTTGAAGAAGATTTTCAACAAATACATCTCATCACACAAAAAGATGACATGTTGGCTCAGTGTTGATGAAGCTGATTTTATGAAAGAGAGTGTCTTTTCATGGGAGGAATGTATCGTGGTAAAAAAAAGTAAAAATCGCCTACTTTTGCTGAGGGAAGGAGTATCAAGGCTATTGGCGCTGGTGGATGTGGACTGTTGAGGAACGTCAAGGCCGACAGCTCTGGCCTGGTAACCCGAAAAAATAACCAATAAGAAACATTAACGGGATAAGAAACGTTTAAAAATTGACGCCTATCAGAATACACAGCAATAACAATCGAGCAAGAGAGATGACAGCACTTTAGTACGGTGGCATATGGTGGCAGTAGAGCTCCAGAACATTCCTTCGCGCTCTTCTTCCCGCTTGTTTTATGACCTCCAATTGTCGGATCAACCATAATGTAGACGGCATCCTGACATTGATTTGGCTGATCATTCAGTCAAGGAATGACTTCCAGAGGCCAAAAAGGTTAGCAACAGGTCTTGGGAAGACATCTAGATTTTCACATCGTTATTTCAATATCAAAGATTATATTTCACTCTCAAATTTTGCTTCACTATAATCACTCTTTTGCGTGTTCTCATGAGTAATCAGCTGTATATAAGGCGAAGTGCCGTTATGATTCATACTAGCATAAAAGCAAGCGGTATGTTTCACTTGAATGGCTCAAATCTTCGCCAGTTCTGTCTCTAATAAGAGAAACCCTAAAGATCAGAGTGCAAGAAACCTCTGCATCGTAACCTCCATAATGATGCGCACTCTCTCCACAATCTCATTTTAGGGGAAATTGTACTGCAAATATTCCGTTATGCGCTTCAACGACTATGGCGAGATATGTGATGACCATAAATCGAGCAGCCGACACTCGAATTAATCCAGTACTTTCTTCGGATTTTGTTTCAACTAAAGCTGAATCTTTTCGCCGCCGCCCTACCGCAAAAATAAGGAGCTTTTAGCGCATGTTTTGCTGTAATAAGCCAATAATACCATACTCAGAATCTGAGCTATACAAGTTCAAAAGTCGCAGGGATGGAGATGCTTTTTCCTTAAGATCAAAAATTCGAGCAAACCTGCTCCTATTGTACAGTTTCTCATAAAAGCGCATTTTTCAAAAAAAAAACTCCTCCCAAATAAATGTCGCGGGTCTGGGGCCACCCACGTTCTAGAATGCGTAAAACTTTTGTTTCTAAACCACACAGACAATGGTAGCATCGCTGACGATGATTGGAAAAATATCAAAGTTTTCCCAAGAGCTCATGGTCTGGTCAGGGTCAGATAAAAGATGAATTTTCCAAAAGTTTCTGCCGAATAAATGTTCAGATTCCGGGAACGTTTACGCACTGAAAAGCGTAGAATTTTGCTATCGAACCACACAGAAAATGGTGGCATAGCCAACGATGATTGAAAAAATATCAAAGTTTTCCCAAGTGCTCATGGTCTGGTCACGGTCAGAAAAAAGATGGAAATTTTGAAAAATTCCTGCCAAATAAACGTTCAGATTCTGGGAAGGTCTATGCCCTCGAAAGCGTAGAATTTTTGCTATCGAACCAAAAAGGAAGAGCTACCATCACCTTCGATGGTTGGAAATACAAAAGTTTTCCCAAGAGCTCATGGTCTGGTCACGGTCAGATAAAAGATGGAAATTTTGAAAAATTCCTACCAGATAACGTTGAATGTCTGAAAATTTCTATGCTCTAGAAAGCTCTAAAATGAAAAGTAGGATTTCTACTTTTCATCCACACAGGAACTGCTAGCAACGCATCTATGGTTTGGAAAAATACCAAAGTTTTCCCAAGAGCTCATGGTCTGGTCAGGGTCAGACGTCTAATAAGTTTTTCAAAAAATTCCTGCTAAATAAATGTTCAGATTCTGGGATCGTCTACGCCCTGGAGAAATTCCTGCCAAATAAACGTTGAAGGCCTGAAAATTTCTTTGCTTTAGAAAGCGTAGGATTTCTGCTTTTCATCCACACGGAAAACGGTGGCATAGCTGACGATGATTGGAAAAATATCAAAGTTTTCCCAAGAGCTCATGGTCTGGTCACGGTCAGAAAAAAGATGGAAATTATGAAAAATTGGTACCAGATAACGTTGAATGTCTGAAAATTTCTTTGCTTTAGAAAGCGTAGGATTTCTGCTTTTCATCCACACAGGAACTGCTAGCAACGCATCTATGGTTTGGAAAAATACCAAAGTTTCCCCAAGAGCTCATGGTCTGGTCAGGGTCAGACGTCTAATAAGTTTTTCAAAAAATTCCTGCTAAATAAATGTTCAGATTCTGGGATCGTCTACGCCCTGGAGAAATTCCTGCCAAATAAACGTTGAAGGCCTGAAAATTTCTTTGCTTTAGAAAGCGTAGGATTTCTGCTTTTCATCCACACAGAAAATGGTGGCATAGCCGACGATGATTGAAAAAATAGCAAAGTTTTCCCAAGAGCTCATGGTCTGGTCACGGTCAGATAAAAGATGGAAATTTTGAAAAATTGCTACCAAATAACGTTGAAGGTCTGAAAATTTCTTTGCTCTAGAAAGCGTAGGATTTCTTCTTTTCATCCACACAGAAAATGGTGGCATAGCTGACGATGCTTGAAAAAATATCAAAGTTTTGCCAAGAGCTCATGGTCTGGTCACGGTCAGAAAAAAGATGGAAATTTTGAAAAAATCCTGCCAAATAAACGTTCAGATTCTGGGAAGGTCTATGCCCTCGAAAGCGTAGAATTTTTGCTATCGAACCAAAAAGGAAGAGCTACCATCACCTTCGATGGTTGGAAATACAAAAGTTTTCCCAAGAGCTTATGGTCTGGTCAGGGTCAGGCGTCTAATAAGTTTTTCAAAAAATTCCTGCTAAATAAATGTTCAGAATCTGGGAACGTCTATGCCCTGGAAAGCAAAGAATATTTGATTTCAAACTACACAGAAGTTGGTAGCATCGCCGGCGATGATTGGAAAAATAGCAGAGTTTTCCAAAGAGCTCATGGTCTGGTCACGGTCAGATAAAAGATGGAAATTTTGAAAAATTGCTACCAAATAACGTTGAAGGTCTGAAAATTTCTTTGCTCTAGAAAGCGTAGGATTTCTTCTTTTCATCCACACAGAAAATGGTGGCATAGCTGACGATGCTTGAAAAAATATCAAAGTTTTGCCAAGAGCTCATGGTCTGGTCACGGTCAGAAAAAAGATGGAAATTTTGAAAAAATCCTGCCAAATAAACGTTCAGATTCTGGAAAGGTCTATGCCCTGGAAAGCGTAGAATTTTTGCTATCGAATCAAAAAGGAAGAGCTACCATCACCTTCGATGGTTGGAAATACAAAAGTTTTCCCAAGAGCTCATGGTCTGGTCAGGGTCAGGCGTCTAATAAGTTTTTCAAAAAATTCCTGCTAAATAAATGTTCAGAATCTGGGAACGTCTATGCCCTGGAAAGCAAAGAATATTTGATTTCAAACTACACAGAAGTTGGTAGCATCGCCGGCGATGATTGGAAAAATAGCAGAGTTTTCCAAAGAGCTCATGGTCTGGTCACGGTCAGATAAAAGATGGAAATTTTGAAAAATTGCTACCAAATAACGTTGAAGGTCTGAAAATTTCTTTGCTCTAGAAAGCGTAGGATTTCTTCTTTTCATCCACACAGAAAATGGTGGCATAGCTGACGATGCTTGAAAAAATATCAAAGTTTTGCCAAGAGCTCATGGTCTGGTCACGGTCAGAAAAAAGATGGAAATTTTGAAAAAATCCTGCCAAATAAACGTTCAGATTCTGGAAAGGTCTATGCCCTGGAAAGCGTAGAATTTTTGCTATCGAATCAAAAAGGAAGAGCTACCATCACCTTCGATGGTTGGAAATACAAAAGTTTTCCCAAGAGCTCATGGTCTGGTCAGGGTCAGGCGACTAATAAGTTTTTCAAAAAATTCCTGCTAAATAAATGTTCAGATTCTGGGAACGTCTACGCCCTGGAAAGCAAAGAATATTTGATTTCAAACTACACAGAAGTTGGTAGCATCGCCGGCGATGATTGGAAAAATAGCAGAGTTTTCCAAAGAGCTCATGGTCTGGTCACGGTCAGATAAAAGATGGAAATTTTGAAATTGCTACCAAATAACGTTGAAGGTCTGAAAATTTCTTTGCTCTAGAAAGCGTAGGAGTTCTGCTTTTCTTCCACACAGGAAGTGCTAGCAACGCATCTATGGTTTGGAAAAATACCAAAGTTTTCCCAAGAGCTCATGGTCTGGTCACGGTCAGATAAAAGATGAATTTTCCAAAAATTTCTGCCAAATAAATGTTCAGATTCTGGGAACGTCTATGCCCTGGAAAGCGAAGAATATTTGGTTTCAAACTACACAGAAGTTGGTAGCATCACCCTCGATGATTGGAAAAATATCAAAGTTTTCAAAAGAGCTCATGGTCTGGTCACGGTCAGATAAAAGATGGAAATTTTGAAAAATTGCTACCAAATAACGTTGAAGGTCTGAAAATTTCTTTGCTCTAGAAAGCGTAGGATTTCTGCTTTTCTTACACACAGGAACTGCTAGCAACGCATCTATGGTTTGGAAAAATACCAAAGTTTTCCCAAGAGCTCATGGTCTGGTCACGGTCAGATAAAAAAAGGAAATTTTGAAAAATTCCTGCCAAATAAACGTTCAGATTCTGGGAAGGTCTATGCCCTCGAAAGCGTAGAATTTTTGCTATCGAACCAAAAAGGAAGAGCTACCATCACCTTCGATGGTTGGAAATACAAAAGTTTTCCCAAGAGCTTATGGTCTGGTCAGGGTCAGGCGTCTAATAAGTTTTTCAAAAAATTCCTGCTAAATAAATGTTCAGAATCTGGGAACGTCTATGCCCTGGAAAGCAAAGAATATTTGATTTCAAACTACACAGAAGTTGGTAGCATCGCCGGCGATGATTGGAAAAATAGCAGAGTTTTCCAAAGAGCTCATGGTCTGGTCACGGTCAGATAAAAGATGGAAATTTTGAAAAATTGCTACCAAATAACGTTGAAGGTCTGAAAATTTCTTTGCTCTAGAAAGCGTAGGATTTCTTCTTTTCATCCACACAGAAAATGGTGGCATAGCTGACGATGCTTGAAAAAATATCAAAGTTTTGCCAAGAGCTCATGGTCTGGTCACGGTCAGAAAAAAGATGGAAATTTTGAAAAAATCCTGCCAAATAAACGTTCAGATTCTGGAAAGGTCTATGCCCTGGAAAGCGTAGAATTTTTGCTATCGAATCAAAAAGGAAGAGCTACCATCACCTTCGATGGTTGGAAATACAAAAGTTTTCCCAAGAGCTCATGGTCTGGTCAGGGTCAGGCGTCTAATAAGTTTTTCAAAAAATTCCTGCTAAATAAATGTTCAGAATCTGGGAACGTCTATGCCCTGGAAAGCAAAGAATATTTGATTTCAA